TTGTGCTGTTAATGCCTTCATGCTAACTAATTTGTTCCCATTGCCCAGAATGAGCAATAAAGTTAGGTCTGAGACTGCTCTTAAAAAATGTAGCCATGATCTGATTAATATTTTAGGGGAAAAAAAAAAGAATAATTGTTAATGTAAAAATTAATATAGAAACTTTGTAGAATGTTTCAAATATTTTTATATTTGAAAATATTATTAGATAATATTTTGATCTATGAGAAAAAGAACACTGAATAAATTAATTATCAACCTTTCTGCCTGCTGTTACATGTTTTCTTTTCTGCACTGTTATGTTCTGAAGTATTATCCAAAGTGTGTTGTGTAGAACATAATTTCACACTTAATAGAAGTTATATGTAAAATTACCAGTGTCTTTTCACATAGAAATTCCTTTCTTTATTGTAAGATTTCTCAGATCCTTTACTATGTTGATATATTTTCTGAATCTCCAAGGGAGAGATACACAAAATTCTCATCCAAAGACCATATTTTTGTGGAACATGTCCTGGACTAGTATTCTCTGTGTTTACTTGAGAACTTCTGCTTTGGTAATTGAGTCAGAAATCAGCAATCTGGAAACAAAAAAGTAAAAAAAAAAAAAAAAAAAAAAAGAGAGAGAGAGCATGAGCTCTATATTGGCATTCAATTATTTCACATAACTTGTTTATTGAAGCTTCAGAAACTAAGCAACTAAGTAACTGAGATATATGTTTTAAGAATGAATCAAACATTGGGGTTCCTGGGTGACTCAGTGGTTAAGCATTGACTCTTGATTTCAGCTCAGGTCATGATCTCACGGTTCGTAAGATCCAGCCCAGGGTCTGGCTCTGTGATGACAGCATGGAGCCTGTTTGGGATTCTCTTTCTCCTCTCTCTCTGCCCCTCCCTCACCCATGCTGTCTGTCTGTCTGTCTCTTTCTCTCTCTCTCAAAATAAAGAAATAAATGTTAAAAATAAAAGAATGAATCAAACAATTTTATTCTTACATCCAAGATTGTTTTTCTTTCATGGGCTGTGCATATTGAAACTAGTGAATAGGGGAAATCATTAAGCTGCCCCCTTAATGTGGAGTTTAATTACTCCTATTCTTATAAAGAGGACACTAGTAAAAAAGTTTTTAAAATATAGGAAATGCATGAACTTTGCCATCTGCAGAACTTCAACCTTAAGATATTTCAGTAGTTGCTAATAGAGATGAATGAAACACCCAAATTCAATCAAATGTTTGCATAGGAATCTCATAATGAGAGTTTTATATAGCTGTAATGTAGTAGATTTTGTGATACATAAAGTCAGATTCTAACATAAAAGTAATCAAACTTGCATGGAAAAAATATAGGAAGAGTTTGGACCAAGAATTGGCAATGTTTATCCAGCACCATCTAGGAGAGAGCTACTGACTTGGAAGACACAGAGGATGATTGCTCTATCTTGGGACAGGGATAGTTTATCAGACAGTCCCAACGTCTAAATTATATACCCCTCCTATATACTTACTTATGCTTTTGATTTGTGTTCATTAAATAATAATTTCATTAAATAAAAAGAGGCAGCATCAAAATGTGATGGGTAAGAATGTGGACACTGAAGTCAGACCACTTGGATTCAAATCCTGATTCTTTCACTTCTAAGCTGTGTGACCCTCAGCAAATCACATAACCTCGCAATCTCATCTGTAAAACTGAAATATTGCCATATCCATCTTACAGCTTCACATCAGGTCTTATTTTATCCCAAGAATCAATAAGGATTACCCACGACATATGGATCCTTATAAATAAAAAGTAATCATGTAAATACAAATAAGGTCTATATTCATTATCCATTGTTAATGGTTCTCTAGCAAATGCTTTACAAGTGCAGAATGGTATAAAAGGGACCTCATGAGGAGCACCTAGGTGGCCCAGTCAGTTAAGCATCCAACTCTTGATTTCAGTTCAGGTCATGATCCCAGGGTTGTGGGATTGCACCCACATGTCAGGCTTGCCTCTGGCTGTGGAGCCTATTTGGGATGTGTGCTCTCTCTCACTGTCTCTCTCTCTCTCCCCCTTTACCCCTCTCCCCCACTCACGCACTTTCTTATATATAAAAATAATAAAAATAAAAATAAAAAACCCCAAAAACCCCTGTTCCTTATAATGACAGATAAAGTGGAACCGAGGGCTTAAATGTAAGAGATAAGAGAAAAATTGGAAAAAAAAGGGGGGGATTTAATTTATTTTACAATTTTACAAATGATAAAACAATTACACCCAATTGCTATACATAAACAATAGGAAACAGTGTTGAACAGAATGAACTTGACAGAATAAATCTCATCTTTCAATTCCACAAATGATTTAAGAAATACTCAGTAGCAATTATCCTGTGCAGCAGTGCTATCTCTGTAAACTCTTTTTTTTTTTTCTCCTGCTATATACATTTGAAACACTTGTGCTTTTTGCCTACACAAAGAAACAGTATTTATTAAAAGGTGCTACTTAAATGGAGACACAGGGCCCGGAGCCACAATCTGAACAAAGTCTAAGTCAAATACATTGCCAGCTTCAAAACTTTTTTTAATTTTTAATTTTTCTTTTTTTTTCTTTTTTTAAGATTTGGCTATACTAGACCCTTATTGACACTCTAAGTATGAACAATAGAATTCAGTTATAAAGTAGATCCCTCTTCAGGTTAGTAACTGAAGTCTCAAAAGAACTTCTTTATTCTAAAGTGGTCTTATCTCCAGAGTGCTTAACAGCACAGCCTCTGAAGATGTTAGCATAACACAAATCTAGTGCGTGTATATTACAGACTCTGTGTATATAACACAGACACACATATATAACATTGTATATATGCATCACACATGTCTATTTGTACTATATAGATATATCTATAGCACATATATAATAAAATATCTATTTCTAGGTGGGCTTTATTTGGATTTTCTTTTGTCAGATATGCACAATAACCCTCTCTCACTCAATTTTCAAAACATTGGTAACTTGATAAGGTCTAATGAGGAAACTTTCAAACTTGTAGAGGTAACAACTAACAATACGTAACTCTTCCTACACCTCTTCCACAATTATAGATACCCCCAACAATAAGCACGTGAAAACAACTCTTATGAACCAAATACCACATTGTGTGCATTATGACTAACTGGCTCAATTAGAAATAAATTACTTTGTTCACCCTTTTCCTGTGGAGAAGTTTAATAACTAGTTGGTATGTACACTACCCATAGCATTATTTAAATAAATTTCTTATGTAAGCATATATGTAGAAATTCCCATTAGCGATTGATATACATTTCATATGATATACAATACAGAAAGACATTTGAATGCCCAGCACCTTCTTTGAGACTCAAAAACTTCCACAGTAATTTCATCAGTCCCATGGGCAGAATCACTAGATTTGCCCGGAAAAATCTGTTACTGATTCTTTTTTTTTTTTTTTTTTTTTTTTTTTTATTCGAGCAACATAATATTAAGTATAGAACAGGCTGGGTAATGGTGAAAATGTTTCCATGGCCTATTCATGTCAACAGCACAGTAACAACCATGTTCTCTAAAGGACAAGAATCTTTCACAATCAGCTGCCTGAGCATTGCCAGGTACAGGGGTAAATTGTGAAAAAGAAACAAAAAATTAAAGCTGTGAACATATGATAGATAGTCTCAAAAGAAAAAAAAAACTCAGATGTTTCAAGTACGTATGTATAATTTTATTTTATCATGATCCCTTTTGGCCCTTATTGGTTAAACGGAATTCTTCTTCTTCTTGCTATTAGTGATCTCCTTGCCTTATCCCTGTAAGAAGGCCACAGTAGATTGTGGAGGTGGTGGGGTGAATGGAAAGGTATACAATAGGGAATGAAATGGTCTTGTACAGTTTGTTTTCTTTGAACACTAAATACCTTTAATTGAATTCATTCTTGAGTATTGAAAGTTCCCTGAGATGAACAAAAGTAGTCTCAGTCGATACTGAAGCCCTTTTTATATGCTGAACATTTTCAGAACTGGGCAATTTATTTAGAGAACACAAAGTATAGGGTAACAAAGCAATGCAAAGCTAAAAAGGCACTACTCAATGCATCTATGAGATAAACATTAATGCACAAAACGATGAGTGGCTGGATGCTTTTGCTGTGGCCTTAAAATTGTTGAAATACATTTGTTGATAATGCAGTAAAAATGGCAAGGTTCCTTGCTGCTGCTTTGTAAGACATACTTTTAATGAGCTCTGAGATGGATAGTACCTACCAGAATTTACTTGTGACTTCAAATTTTCTATCGAATTCAAATTAAAGACTACTCCAACAACTTACCCACAAATAGTAAAAATTAAGGTTCTATAAATTACCTACTTTGGATTTGTTACATAAATCAGACTTTTCAACTTTACATTCAAAACATGTGCCTAATTCTTTTAAGATTTCCATTAGGTAATAAGAGGTTAATGATAAAAGTGCATCATGTTCATAGTATTTTTAGCTATGTATCTCCTTTATGCATTCTATTTTGTTTTCTTAGAGACACATGAATTCTAAAAAATAGGATTTTGAAACCCAAGGTTCTCTTATATTTTTAAAAATAATACCATGTATTATTAATATATTAAGAACTGTACTACTGTGGACATCCTTTTCTATGATTTTATATATATATATATACATATATATATACATATATATACATATATATATACATATATATATACATATATATACATATATATATACATATATATACATATATATATAAAATCTCCATGCTATTTATTCTTTTTTCAGACTGTCTTCCCTAAGAAACAAAACATATATGTTCCCCACACTATTTCTTCTTTTCTTACACAGGAACAAGAGGTCATCTAAGGGTTTCAATCCAAGAGTACAAGTGGGAACACAGGACTTCTGCTTTCTAAACAATTCACTGTCAGAATTACCTGCCGCTGAAGTAGAAGTTAACAGAAAACTGGCCCATTGGTCAATTCTGTCACATGTTAAAACTTTTTGAATCACTTTATTAATAATTTCATGTGCTTCTTTGAAAACACATTAATGTAGTACTGTGAATAAATTTAACCACAGAGAAAATATTGGTCAACTTCATTCACTTGAAGTGCAAAATGCTGACACAGTTTCATTATTAAACCTCTTAAAAGTAATCATCCCTGTTTTGGAAACAGCATTCTATTAATCACGTTATTTCTGCACTAAGAAAACTTAACAGTAATGTAAAGAGAATGCCAATCTTTCCATTTGAGTAATAAGGGGAATATCAAAAAACTGGAAGTCAGATTTCAGCCCTATCAGTCTGACATTTATCCTAAAGGGCAAAATGCTTCCAGAAAATTATTATGAAATGTAAAAGTTATGGAAGTCTTCTTCAAATAAAAATAAAGTTTGAGTTTGAAAAATTCAACATATTTAAAGACAACTTCTGTATTAGTAGCATCATAATATATTAATATATTATTTTCATGAAAGGAGAATGGTTTGTTGTGTAGAAACATCAGTATAATCTTTGGTACCAAAAGTACTTTTTTTTCCTGCTAATTTTACCATCTCAGATGACATTGAACATCTTTCCTTTAGAATGGCTCAAGATTACTGAGTGGCACAGTTTAGCTGGTACCTTCTACACCACTGGGAAAAACTCTGGAGGTTTAGAGTTGTGCAAAATAAAACGTTTTTACAAAGTCATTATGTGATTGCTCTTTAAAAATATAAGAACTTTAAAAATGATTTCTTAAAGGTTATTTATCTCATTCATCTTTATCTCAGAAAGGATTTCTAAGCACCCAATACCCAAACCAAAAGAGATTCCAGAAGACAAAAACAAAAACAAAAACATAAAATTCATGATCAGACTCAGAGTCCTGACTGAAGGCATTTACTTGAGTTGTTTAATCTTATGGATTTCACTGCTCCAACTATTTCCATCTTGATTTCTTCTGACAAGGATGGTTTAATCCCCAGGGCTGGGTTATTCTTCTAATGTGCTTGGCATTGCCGTGGCAGCCCAACAGTGATGAACATATTTGCCTCATTAACTAATGACAAGTGCATTGTTGGATCTTGTAAACACTACTGATTATACATTCAAACTGTGTTCTTAGTGGAAGTGGCACTTACTAGGACCCTTGAAGTCGAAATATGTTTTTTAGAGCACTTTGCAGGTATTTCATCAGCTGGTAGCGGATTTCTCATAAATGTCCTTTATCACCTTTCAGATAATTGGTGGATACTGAAACTCAGTCTTGTTCTGGATCCTATTTTCAAATCTTAGGAAGCATCTTCAGAAAAGAAGTGCATATTCAGTTTGTTTGTATGTTTTCAAATGTGCTTTATTGCTTTACACACCTTCCTGTTGTTAGTTTCAGGGCTCCTCTATTATGTAGCACATTCAATGTTTTGAATTCTAATGGCATTCTGTGAGGACTTGCATTGGAAAAGTACCTATATTTTAAGTCATCGTAGTAATGATATTTGACGGCTTTTCCATTCAAATCCTTAGGGAATGGCCAGAATCCATACAGGTGAATTTCATCACAGAATCTTGTGGCAAGTGTATACATGAGGAGACCTGTGCTGGGTCTTTTGATGGGAACTTTGTTTGTCAGCCAGTAACTGGAAAAGAAAACACACACACACACACACAGAAGAGAAGAATTTAGAGGAACACACAACATACCCTACAGCAAAGTATACTATGTGGAATTAAAGTAAATCAAATTTGAAAAGTATGCTTATGAATAACAATCAAAAGATTCCTGAAGAAATATTTCTTAAGCATTTAGAAATTTGATCTCTTTATATTATTTTCTTTTATCCTTTATTTCCTTATTTTTGAGGTCATATAAATAAACAGGGGACCTAGAAAGTATGTAAATATTACTGTAGAATCTCATATTCAAAATGAATTAGCACCAAATACATAATATACAGAATAGAATCTTCTCAGAAAGTGTTAAATACGACTATAAAAGACACAGTAATTGGGCAAAGATTGAGTAATTCTCCTAGAAAAAGAAAATTTGAAACTTTGCCCCTGGGTTTTTCAAAATCTCTGATATTTCAATTAAAAATCCAAACAAATGCTTCACTTGCATTATACTGACTTATTTCATTTCAATTGTCCAAATCCCATTTTACTAAAGCTAATTAAAAATGTTGCCTCAACCCACAGAACAACGACATAAAACAAATAACATATGAACATAAACAGTTCACCACTTATTCAGTTTAACACTTTCTTAAATAAGCAAAATACATTTAATGCTGATAAGTATTTTATACTGTTCATTTTCAAAGGTGATAAAATACTCCAAAATGTTCAGATCCATCATTGTTGTCAAACTTTGTTCACCTGAAAAGCATGCAAATTCACAAGTTAATCATCACCCCTGGCAAAGAAGGGGGTTTCCAGTATTTCTTGGCATATTCATTATCTCATGTGGAAACAGCTAAAAGAGGAAAGGTATAGATTTTCTTTAACTTTCAAAGTTGTCCAATTATAAATAAAATAAAGTTAATAATTCTTTTTTTTTAATTTTTGTTTTTACTATTGTCTCTTATTTGGGGAAATATATACCCTGCCATCCAAATGTAAGGGCAAGATTATATAAAATTTTGTTCATTGCTGTGTTTAAACACTTGCCTTGGATTTACACAGTATTCTTTCCTTTGTTTTTTGTTTTTTTTTTGTTTTTTTTTGTTTTGTTTTGTTTTTTTTACCAATTTATGACGTTTTCCAGGGGACATCAAATACATCTAGACTACTGAATGCTGATCAAGAAATATTGGACTTTGAAACCTCCCTACAAACATCCAAAACAGGGAAAAGATACTTATCCATTATTGTTCCTCTTTTTTCCCCCTTCATTTCTCCCTCTCTGAACCAGGATTGACCTTTCACATCTTTTAGTTTTCTAATTGGGTAAAGGCCACGTGCTAAATGTTTTGAGCCATATGAAATGCACTATAGATCTTTTGTAACAAAAGTTTTTTAAGAAAGCCTATTCTCAGTAAAGAACATTTGGAAGGAGTCTTCAAAGAAGATTATATAAGAATTTTCTCATAACACAAAGGTAGCTAATGAACAAAAACCATAGCGCATGCATTGTTGACATCATGAAGAAACCCAGATATTGATTCTGTGTGAGAAGTTTAGTTAAACTATGGTTTGAAGGTTTTGAAGAGACTGATAGAGACCAAAGGTGTCTCAGCTTTGAGAAAGCAGATGTTGTAGCATAGAATGATTCTTATTGGAAAATTTTGTAATGTGATCTGTGTGTGATTACAGATGTCAGTTGATGAAGTTGGTTAGTTTTAAAAAATGCATTTATTTATAAATTTTTAAAACAGGTGAAGCAAGTTCAAACTCAGTCAAAAAATGATTATTTCCACCAATGAATGTCAATTATTAGGATATAGTCTGACAATATGAAGTTTGTGCTGAATTATGTTATTTCTAAAGTGAGAAAAAAAAGCTATCAGGAAATAGTATAATGCCATATTATTTATATGGGACTCCAAGGTCACATTATATGTGACTTCAAGAACACATTATAAATAAACACTTTGCATTTTCTAATTCTGGAAAGATTTCCTGAATATTCATTCAACTCTGATCATTCATAGACAAAATACCAAAGCAACTTTTTTATGAATACAAATAAGCAATTATAGTGTTAGGGAAAAAAAAAAAAACGCTGATGGCAAAATTATTGGCCTAAATGTTTTAAAATAGTATCACAGATACATAGTAACTCAACCTTTTTTGATCCAGGGCACCCCATGTGATACCACAACAGAAAATCAGTGAAGTCATCTCCTTACCCTCAAACGCCTGACATCTAAAAGCTAGCAGGCAAAAGAGCATAGTGGAGACATCCAGAAGAAAACAATAGAAACATGTAATTTTGGGGACAATTCTCAAGTACGTGATGTGACTTCAGTGAGGTTTTTATGGAGGAAATAAATTTGTGAATTTTGGAATAGGAAAGATATACCTAGAATATTAATTAATTAATATTAATAAAAATTGTGTTTTGAAAACTAAACTCAGATCACAAAGCATCCTATTTGAAAGTAATGGGTAGAGAGGCTCTAGAAACTTGTTACTTTAATCCATGCAGTTCAAACACTGGTGTAAATACACTTTGCTTTAGAAATTCTAAAACTGTCTGATGTTTGGCTTGAAACAATTTGAATAATTTCAAAGAAAATTAACTACCCATTTTCAGGATATTTTTGGAGAAAAAGAACAAAATAAATGCCACTAAATGGTATCAACATGTAACAGATAAGTTGAAACAAAACCTTAAAGCAGTTGAGAACTAAGGCCACAGTTAATAACATCCTGTGAAATTAAAAAACACAGGAGCCGATCCAAATATAGTCAGTAAGAATTTCCTACGTGCTTATTATAAATCTAATGTTGGGCCTGACATTGTATAGGCCAACATAAATTACCGATATTCAGCATTTGCCCAGGAGCACATTCCATATGTGAAGAGGACAAAAATGGATATTCTTTTTAAACTCTATTAGCACAATCAGTTAGATAATATCTGCCAACTTTACCAGCCAAAATCCAGAGAACAATTTTAAAATCCATATCGCTCAGTATCTACTTATGTACAAGCTGGCATTTAAAGACCACAAATTTCTTATAAAGAGTTAATCAAAAATAGAATGTTAACTTAAATTTTAAATCCTAATTAGGAAGAAATTGAACTGAAAATAATGCATTTATAAAATAATGAACTATTTATATTCTAATTCAGGATAAGCTGTTCTAATTTTTATCTCAAATTCATTTCTCTTGTAATTTCAAATTTGGCAATATTTTCAATTCAGCAAATAATCTAGTTTCTCTGTATGTATTTCTTTTTATAGAAATTGATATTTTTCATCACAAAATCAATGCAGCTTCCCTGTAGAAAATATGAAGAAAAAAATGAGGAATAAAATACTACTTATAAGTCAACTACATGCAGATAACTACTGTTATAATGTGCTGCATCCTCTTGTTTCTCTGACTGTTTTAGTCTTAATATATCATTCATAGACATACATAGAATATTTTTTCACCAGCTAGGCTAAGTTTTATTTCAGATACTATTAATTCCCTCTCTCCTTTCCTCCTTCTCTTCCTTTCTGCTTTAATGTTGTAATACTCTGTCTTGTTGTATGAAACAAACTCACCCTAGATTTTATTGAACATTTCTAAGTTTTTATTTTTTTAAGTTTATTTATTTTGAGAGAGAGAGGGAGAGCAAGTGGGGGAGGGGCAGAGCCAGAGGGGGAAAGAGAGAATCTCAAGCTGACAGAGCAGAGTCCCACATGGGGCTCATTCCCATTAACCATGAAATCATGACCTGAACCAAAACAGAGTCAGACGCTTAACCAACTGAGCCATGCAGGTGCCCTGAACATTTCTAACTTTTTATACATGCAGTAGCCTCCATAGGTCTCACTACTTCCCACCATGGAAGCTCAGTTCTTGCTAAGCCAGGTGTCTTACCTACTCTTCCTCCAACATATCCACTGTTCTTATTTCAAACAAACTTAGCAGTTGCAATGTCTCTATCCACCAAATCTGTGTCACAAGAAGTGCGTATGAATCTGTGATATCATATATCAATGCCTGAGCCCTTGGGCAAGCTACTACTTCTCTTCCTTGGGCCTTGATTAATAATATTAAGCCTGTAAGGTTGTCATGATAATGTAAGAGAGATAGTATGTGTGGAAATCATAGCAGAAAGCTTGACACATAGTAAGTAATACTAGTTGAATTTTAACATCTTTCAGAAAAACCCACTCTTTATTCCAACTCACACTTCTCTCTTGATGCCTTCTGTAACTATATGTTCCCTGTGGTCATGTCATTTAACCTCAGTGGGCATGTTTCCTTAGTTGAGAAACAAAAGCATTTGATTGTGTGGCTTTGGAGTTTCCTTCATCTGTAAGATTCCATTGGTGTTTCACATCTTCTGTCTCCATGAAACTGCACACTGCCTGAAACTGTGTGAAACACTCTTGGTCCTGCTGTGCTACCTGCTCCTCATTCTGTTCTCCTTCACTTTTTTCAGGTTTGAATATACTGAAAAGCAAAGAAAGTACTTATAGTAGTTTTGACATTAAAGCCAGCAATAGGTTAGATTTTTATCTCATATTAAAATTGGGTAATGATCACCTGATAAGCCAAAATATATTATTTCAAGCAACCAACACTTTCTAAATAAAAGAAAAAAACCTTATCTTCAACAGCATTCCACATTTGATACACTCATGACAGTTCACACTCAACATTTTGGCAAACAAGGAATATTAATTAGCATTTATATTTAAACAAAAAAGTGTAGAAGTTTAGAAGTAATAGGTATTTTTTCCTCTTAAGGTATTATTCTTTCAAAAATCAAAAAATGGAAATTTCTATATAAATATAAAATAGAATATAAAAATATATAATAAAAATATGCATAAAATATAGATAATATATATTATATATGATATAATATATATATTAAAATATCCTAGAATATAAAGTATGGAATCCCACTGTTCCAGTTTTAATGTTATATTATATGCAAAGTTTCCATTCATGAGCCCAGTGATTCTTT